CTACTGAGATGAACAGTCTGCAGTGTATGTAAGAAAAGAAGAAATTATATTCTTATTAAAGTTAAAAAATAAGAAAATAAACAGAGCTGTGAACATAATTTAGAGATTAATAAAGAAAAAATAAAGAAAACTCACATTCATACTCTTAATATCTATGATACTCAATCTTCTTATAACTATCAATTTCTTTCTTCAAAGAAGTAGAGAGTATTATATCTGTGATACAGATAATTATTGCATTTGACATGAAGACTGTCAGAAATGCACAGACTTCAGAGAAGCTGAATATCAGAGTATACATAGTTGCAGCAGAGTCTTGAAGACTGACTGTCTGTATATGTAATCAGATATCTCTTATAAAGCTGTGTTCACTCTCTCAGTTGTGCTGAAGTATTCAGCCTGAAAATAATTAAGATATGAAGAGAGAGCTCATCTGCTCAGATTAACTCTTATCATGAATTCATGACATTCACATTGTCTTGATTACTCAGATTTTATAAGTATCTGAGAACTCATCTTTCATTGACAATGAGATTGTGAAAATACACTGTAATGTGAGAATCATTGATAGAGAATCTAGATATATTTGCATATACCTGATCAGAGATTGTGCAGGTAGAAAGAGAATAATCATAGATCTGTAAGACTGCAGAAGACACTGATAATATCAGAAGCTTTACAAGAACTGTCAGCTAGAGTCTGTAAGGAATTACTTATAAGAAGACTTACAGCAAAGAGAGAGACTGTGCTGCTTAAAGTCAGAAGCTGGTCTGAGAAAGGCATGAAGTTAGCCACTGGCTCAAAGATCAGATACAGTGATAGAGCTGAGAAAGATGAAGACACAGTTATAAGCAGCAGTGTCTCTGCTTCATCAGCCAGTAAAAAGTGATCAGAGAAGTTGTGAGAACACTCATGAGAAGCTTAACAGCAGTCAGATATTATTATAAAGATATTGAAATTAAAAAAAAAATTTTATTCTTGAGAAGTTCTTGAATTAATATACAGATATTGTTAGAAACACTCTCTCTCTGTTATCTGAGTGAAAACACTTTATGAATAAATGAGAATACTCACAGTTTGTGAGATGAGAGCTGTTATAGAAAAAGAGAAAAGAAGGTAAGATTTTACAGACAGATCTGAGATATTTATACTACTCTAAAGAGATTTGCTTACACTGTAGATAATCTCATAGAATAGTCAGATTACTCTAGTAAACAAGAGTGATTATGAATTACAGGCCTGAATCTTTCTATGTGACTATAAAGAGTGATTACAGACTGTGAATATCTTAATTCTATAATTCTACAGAGTTAGTGAAAGAATGAAAAATTCCTCACAATTCTACAGTGTTAAAGAACAATGATTCATGAAAATGAGTGAAAGATTAACTTATGAATACTTCTCTTTGATAAGAATAATCTCATAGAGAGTGATTCATCTGTGAGATGAATCTATGTAATGATTACACAAGAATCTTATAAAAATAATTAAGAGTCAACTGAAACCCTTCTATATAAAAGATGTGAGATGAATCTGTGTGATAGTTAGAGAAGAATCTGTAGATTATAAAGAATCTTATAGAATAAGAAACTGAGTGATAGACTCTTTTCTCTTCACAGTAATAAGAGATTTTTTCTCACTGAGATTTTTATAGATGTGAAGAGTTTTTAGTGAGTATCACTGCAGTGCTGAGCTGATTCTATGAAGTCACTCAGTGAAAGGCTTCACAGATGAAGTCTTAGAGAGAGAAGAGTATGTAAGAAATTCTACTTCTTACAGATTCTTTATCTCTATTTCTATCTCTTATATAATTAATAGAGCTAGCAGCTCTTGACTACACACAACTATATAGACTGAAGTTCATGAATACTATTCACAACTCAGCTTGAATGCTATTATACATTTGACTCTCACATTTTATCTTTCTACTGTGAATACTTCTAGTAGTTAACAGTACATATCACATCAAGCTGCAAACACCTGAATAATCATCTGCGAGCACTTATTCTTACATAATTATAGAAATTCTCTTTAAATACTGTTCATATTCTCTCTCTTTAGATAGTTCACTTATTTACAAGTCTATAAGAGATTCAAGCTTTTCTCTTCAGAGAGATATCTTCTCATGATCAACTTTTTCAACATTTAATAAAGAAAATTGATTTTTAATCAGTGAGTATAGTCTGTATAGTTGAGAGAGTATTTTCTTTAAAGAATTATTTTCATTTCAATCAAGAAATCTATTTCAATCCAGTTCATTTCCAGAGTTAATTGATGAATTAGAAGATATTAAAATACTGTAATTTATAAAGAGTTTTTATATTCTGAGCTGAAATTTTCTGATTTTACATATCTGAAATTAATCAATGTATCATAGTTAACTCTATAGATATTAGAAAAACTCTGAGATCTAAAAGTTCTCAGGTAGATGTTATAGTATCTGACTATATATATCTATAATTGAAGAATAATAATAATAACAATAATCTATCAGAAACTCAAGTAGCTATAAGAAAATAACTGAATTCAGAAATATCTAAATGTGAAGAGATGAAAATTGATCAGATATAATCTGTTAAAACAGTTATATACTATCTTTTAATAATTTTATTTTATTATAGTCTCTCTTTACTTTACTTTTTCTTTTCTGTTCTTTTCTATCTACTTATTTAATATGTCTATCTTTAAGACTTTGTTCTCTTTCTTTTGTCATGATATTTTCAAATGATTTCAAAGTATTAGAAGATGTTAACATACTGTAATTTATAAAGAGTTTTTATATTCTGAGCTAAAATTTTCTGATTTTGTATATCTGAAATTAATAAATGTATAACCGTGTCATGCTTACTCACTCTCTCTAGTGAGTGTGTCACAGTGTACAGAAAATCACATTATACAGAAAATATTTTAAATATAGTAATCTTTAAAAATTAATTAATAATTATTATTATATCTATCTACAATATAAAGATTATCTATATACTTATTAGAAGATGTAGAATTCACTGTAGATTAAGATTCTATAGAATTATCTTATTATAGTTAAGTAACTAGACTGACCATGTGACCGTGTCTGAGACCAGAACCAGATTTTTTAATAGTTTCATTATCAATTCAACTGATTTCATTACACAGTTTTAACATTAGATAGTAGTCTCATACTGTTTTAGTGAGACTTACTGTCTACTCTTGTCACATTTTTCAAATGAGACTATGATTTTCACTTCTCAATTTAAATTATTTTTATTGCTTTAAATGACTTTAAATCTCATTTGAGTATTACTAAAAAGCATTACTTTTTAAAAAATTAAAAATAGTCTAAAAAAAACCTTAAAATGTCTAAAAATAGTAACTTTATGCCAAGAATGAAACTAAATGAGATTAAATGAGATCACTTTCTCATTTTTTTCAAGTAATGATTTCATTTTAAGATCTGATATATAGTCACTTTGCATGTTTTTTTAATAGCTAGTCCCAGCGGGATTCACGCCAAGAAATGTATAAGATCAGATCAAATGAGATTAAATGTGAAATTTATAGTCTCAGTGACCAGTCTATAAGTGACTGTAGATTTTATAGATTTGATTTCAATTAACTAAAGATTCTTATTAAATATCTTTTTCATCTCATCTACTCTACAGATTATAATCTTGCAATTGACATTCTTAATAGTGAGAACTTCATCTACTTGCACCTGTCTGTAGAAGAATTTAATAACTTAATATCTATTTACTTAATAATAATCTGTAAGTTCACTCTTACAGTGCATGTTCAATTCTGTCTGAATCATACTACTCTTGAAGATCTTGTTCAACTGTCTTGTCAAATCAGATGTAAGAGTATTCTTTACATCTTCTAAGATCTTGACTGCTGTATTGATTTAATGATGTAGTTTTGCAACTATCTCTGAAGAGATTAATTGCAAAGAGACAGTTAATGATTAATCTGCAGATGATGAGATAAAGTGATTATATATATTATTATCATCATTATATATATTGAGATCTGAGGTATTATCAATAATAAGAGATCTCAATCAATTGAGAATTATATTGTGATTAACTGAATACATTTCACAGTTAGCAAAGTCAGCTCTCACAGTATAATTAATGAATTCAATACTATATTATCTGCACTGACACACTTTATTACTGTTATTAACTCACAGAAGTATAATGACTGTATGATAGAATTCATATCTCTAAAGACAGTTATAACTCACTATTTATATTCTTCTTCTTCTTGAAATTTACTCTCATCAAAGTTGTAGATATCACATTGAAAAAAATGATATTAATTAAAGACAGCTTTATATTAATTAAATTAGTTAATAATGAAGCTTATATTCTTATAAAACACTTATTTTAAATTCATGAGCTTTTGCTTGATCTGTTTATAATCTGACAGATGTTTGATAAATTAATATACTCATATCTTACTTACTGTGAGAGATGCAGTCTCTGAATCTGTATAATACTATCTTAATATACAGTTTATAATGACTTCAATATACTTAATAATAAATAAGTAAAAATTAATATTTAACTGATGAATTCATATCTTAATTATCTCTTTCTGACTGTCATTTAATACTCTATTCAGTGAAACTCTTATAGTTCTTGATTTCTTCTCATTAATTCTCTTATATAAGATAATATATGAGACTTTGAATTCTTATAACAGAGATGTGATTTTTAATTTTAAATTACTTTTATACATGTCAACAGCTCTTTGTAACTGCTTCTCAGTGTAATTAGAAGATTTAGACATGATTATAATTAATAATAATTATTTAAAGATGAAGAATAAAGATATTGAAAATATTTTCTATACAGTGTGATTTTTCATACACTGTGATACACTCACTAGAGAGAGTGAGTAAGCATAACACAGTTAATAGTTAACTTTATAAATATTAGAAAAACCCTAAGAACTAAAAGTTCTCAGATAGATGTCATAGTCTCTGACTGCATACATCTATAATTGAAGAATAATAATAATAATAATGAACAATCAACCCTACGTTCTTCCGGTATGGGTTTGTTCTGGCCTTACCGCTTAGATAACTAAGCCTGTTTTTCTGCCGGCAGAATCTCTTATCGCGCTCACCGCCTTTGAGGCACCTGCCAGCCTCCAGCCCGAACCCTGACTTGGTCCATTCGCAATTAAATACTGGGCATATCTCTTTTATCCGGGGAGACTCTGAGTGCGGCATGCTACTAGTCTGTTAAATCCCATTGAATTTGCTATCCCAATTAAATATTATTGAGGATGGCCGATCCTCCAAATCGCAAACTGGTGCAGACCGTGCTCAATCTCCACCCGGAGCGGAGACGGGATCTCGGGACCTCCCGCTCCCCATATTTCGTCCGCCAGTCCCCAAACGGCGATGTAGCAAACGGCCTTTCGAATGACTCCCAAGACAGGATGGAGGATATACAACCTACTCCACCCAGACTGCAGTCACAGGAGGTATCCAACATCAGCACATCCACAGATTCAAGCTACGACGCGGGCCTAGAGCGGAAACGCGCAATTCAAGCCCGCCGCAAGGAACTCTCCGCCATAGCTGCTGAAACCACCTCCTTACTCCCCAATATCCTTGCCACCGCTCCTCATGCCCCTCCGAAGGGATACCTGTACGCCCCTCCACAGCCGCCCCGCCTCTCCCATCACTTCTGTCCGAACCTTCCTCCCACTGCCATCCGCATCCACGACGCAGACACCTTCGACACAGCCATTGGCTTAGAAGAATGCTCCAAGTTCATCACTATTAAGGACAAAAAGCCAGTATGCGTGCTGAACATGGCAAATGCGCACAATGCAGGCGGAGGCTGGAAGCGGGGGGCTTTGGCGCAGGAAGAAGCGCTCTGTTATCGAAGCAGTCTCAGCTTCTCTTTAAAGTTACGCTATTATCCGCTTCCGGAGATGGGGGCGATATACTCCCCGACAGTGCTAGTGATTCGGGCAAACATGGATGAAGGCGAGCATAAGCTGCTCGATTTGTCGCAGCCGGACAAGCTGCCCGTTGTCAGTGTGATTAGTGTAGCAGCGCTCTGTGTACCAGATGTTAGGACGAGGGAAGTGCCAGGATTGGGAGTTAGGCAGGTTTATAAAAACCCTACCGATCGCGAAATCATGAAGGAGAAGATGAGAGTGGCTCTGCGGACTGCGGTAGTGAATCAACACCGGAGATTGGTGTTGGGGGCCCTGGGTTGTGGAGCGTTCGCAAATCCGAAGGAGGAGGTAGCGGATTGTTGGGCTGAGGTCTTTCAGGAACGGGAATTCAGTGGTGGGTGGTGGGAAAGTATCATATTTGCTGTGATGGATGATCGGGGTGAGGGGGAAGACGGGGACGGCAATTTTGGGGTGTTTTATCGAAGACTAAATGGAGTGCTTGTTTAAGGTTGATATGTATACCCAGATACCCTTGATTCATAGCAGGGGATAGTTTTGCGCACTCCTCTATTATAGATCGTCTTGTGTTTTATATCGACGACTAACCAACGAAAGAAAACACGGACAATAGATGAGGGGAGATGTTCAGCCATGGGCAGGCAAACTACTGAACGAAGGATATATGGCTCACGAATTATGAAATAGCGAAACCGGCTAACGTCTCGATTATTGTGCTTTGATTTATCAAATATGCAACTGAATTCTTCCCTGATTACTTTCTTGAACGTAAGGATCTCCCGTGCTTGGGGGCGGATGGCGCTTCAGTCTGAGCTGCAACCTCCTTTTCATTTTTTACCGTTGGTTCAGCCCTTGACTTAGTCGTAGCTTTCTTGGTGGTGGAAGGTTTCTCGTCGTCATTCGCCGCTCCTCTGCTTAGCTTCTTTGTAGTAGCGACTTTCTTCTTTTTAGGGGGCGGTGGCTCATCGATCTCCGTAGCCTCATCTTCCACATCTCCTGCAACTGGACCTGTCCTTTTCTGTACAGATGGTACTACAGCACTGGTGCGACCACCAACGGTAATGAAAACGATTTTGTCGCCATTGGGTAGCCTTTGCGAATGCTTCTGCTTCCCCTTAGTCCACCGATGTTTGAACAGCCAGTCGGCTGGAAACTTTTCGGAATCCCCCAGGAGATCAACGGAAGTTGAGCATACATAGCTGATTGCCGAATGGAGCTGTTCGATCTGGCCCTGTTCGATGGTGTTGCTGTACTGCTCTGGGTGGATTTTGGCATGGTACAATATTTCGTCTCTGGTAGTAGAAAGATTTTGGTCAGTTAGATTACGCTCCGTCAAAAAGGCAATGGGTATATATATGTGGAGCGAACGAACCCCATCCAATTTCCAATTCCACTGATATTTGATTGGTCGAGTAGTAAGGCTTTGATAGGAACTTTCTTGCTCGCCAGCTTTCTCGACAACCAATCCAACGTCATAATATGTTTATCCAAAATAGGATCCGGCCCATTCTCCTTCAGCGGGCTATGTTTTCTAATATCGGCTCCAGGGCAGTTGACTAGGCGAACGCGGCCAAGTCGCCGTGGATCAACGAACGCTGTTTCGGATTTCGAGGCATCGTCAATCTGGAGTATAAATTTCCAGAACTTGGGCGGCCACTGCGATTCCTCATTATTCGCCGCTGTGGTTCGCCTGTAATGCGTGTTCATAATTGTGAACTTAAGCCAACCGGTCATGCCAAAATGCATAACAGGATGAGGCGGGGAGGACATGGTTATCCAGAAATATTTCCCTTGTTGTCCCGAGCCCACAATCTTCTTTCCCTCCATATGTTTCTTAAACTCCGCAGCTGTTGTTCCAGCTTTGCCAAAGACGATTGGGTCATCTTGGACGTGGACTTTGGTGATGGTATTGCCGACTAGATACTTGCGAATGTAGTGGACAATTCGTGCCACTTCGGCTAGCTCAGGCATGATTGCAGCAATTTAAGACGAAACTTGAGGTGTGTCTGGAGGGCCGATGTCTGTGTTATATTAAATATGAATTTGAATTTGAATGACTGCGCCTGACCCTCAATCGGTATCAAGGTAAAAGTTTTGATGCGTGTCTCCGAGCTTTGGGGGAGCGTATGATAGCCAAATATTGCTTAATTTCGTCCAAAAAAAGCATAAAAATCCTGATAAAGTTAGGTCTATTTGGGGAAAGCCAGTGAACAGAAAATATGAGGAATATCAGAAGCACTCTGGCTGCGCGGTGTTCATATCGTATTTATTGTACTCAAGGCAGACGGCATCCAGGCTAAAAAGCTAGCAGGGATTAGTCATCACGGACATGCAGAATTAAACCCCAGCATGGATGATCTGGAATGGCAAGCTTGGGAGATCCGGACCTGGGACATATCTGCGGTGAATTCGAGAGTTTGATCGATTCGCCGGGTATGAGTCTTGCAGAAGAATGGATTTCTTCCGGCGGAGAGGAAAGAAAGTGGGACGCGTTCTTCCGCAACACGCAGTCAGGTGACCTGACGTCGTTATGGGGCTCCAGGCAATTTGCCGACAATTTCCTAGCTAAATATTTAAATATTCTTGTTACATGTTTCACTACTTTATTTTATCCCCTTGTCTTTTTGTTGGTCTACTAAATATAGAAAAAAGTCATTGGGGTTTTTATTTTTGAATCAAACGCAACTTCAATGATCTCCCGGATACAACAAAATCCAACCCGCAACTAGCCAGCTATCAACAGTTCGAGCTATCACAAACAGATTCATGCCGGAGTGGTTTTGGGCTAAGCTATCTCCCTCAGACGACCAACCGTTGCCACCGGCAAAAGGGGAAATGTCCCGGGCTCCTTCTCAGCCAACTCTGTCTCCGCAATTCTGTTTCAACGAGCGGGCCCTTCGAGGTAAATGCCGCCTTCTCACATTTGACACAACCCCAAACAAACCCAACCACATCAGATATGTAAAGCATAAAAATGATAAGATAAAACTAAAAACTAACGGATATATCCTTCACTGGCATGAACCGCTAGACTTCCTCCGCATTTCCCGATCCACAATAGACGACTCCATTACACAAAATCTAAATGCCCTCCTCACCCCAGCACAGAAAGGGTTCGACCCTAGTATGACAACTACCCGACAAACAGATTTGGGAAATAAGGGCCAGATAGAGCCAGAAAAATGCCGCTCGTTCCAAAATGATGTTCTCTTCCCCTCCTGGCAAAACCGCTCCGACGTCCTGAATTACTGCGCTGGCGTGGCGACGAGTCCTGACCCACACGACCCAGATCTCCTACTGCGCCTGGGGGAATCAGCAAAGGATAGAGAGAGGGTGGTCGACGAGCGATTGGATCCGTATTCGGCCAGATTTTTCCCGCGCGAATCCAGGACGGAATCGCTAGCTATGTTGCTGAGAAATGAAAGGGGGGTTGAACGCATTATACGATCGAGGACGTGGGGTTTGATTACGGAGCGATGTGGTGGGGGATCTGTAACCTGGGAGGATGCATTAGATCTCTGGCGGGAGGAACAGGATCGGAAGCAATGACCGGTGCCCATCCGTCCTTGTGGGTTTGTTGTGTGACAGACGTCAACTCTGCAAACACTACCATCCATCTAGTGGACGGGGACGGTTTCAAAAGTGTGGTAAGAAACGAAATAAAAGGAGGCTATAGGGTTCTTCTACCTGCGGTCTTTTTTGTCATACGAGTCGGCATACAAAGGATGATCCATGTATGTGGTGTACAGATATCCTGGCTCGGACAGGGGGGTAAATGTAAACTACTGTATAAATTCTCACTCATGTGCTTCTCGGTTAGGTATTCATATTAGACACAATAACTACTTCTGCAATCATAGCTACCAGGGAGAGGCCATACTCCACTTTCCTATATGTTCTCCAGCTCAAAGATCACAAATTGTTACGATTGAAACTTACTGCACGAAATTTCAACTCGCAGTTCTAAGCGCCTGCCTCCTTTCCAACTCTCTCTTCCTTAGCCCTCTTCGCCAGTTAACTTCATCCGGGCTAAGAATCCATCACTTGGGAGGCAAAGTGATCTCCAGATTGGTAAGGGTGCAGAGATGTAGCAACACAGGCCTCCGGCAGCAGATTTTTGGACAGAGCCAGGACCTAACAACGCGCTCTCAGCAAAATGAGAGAGCTCAGTGCAACCATAATTAACTTGAAGTAGTTGGGCTAGGTAGAACTGGAGTTGCGTCCGACCCGTCTGAGCATCAACAGCCTATCTCGTACATCCACACCTGCTTTGACCCGTTAGCTATGTCGGGCTTCAGGCTGAATATCAAATTCCTTACCGACTTCTACTACTTCCCGTCGACACAGCTACTGGTTGACTTAAGCACAAGTAAACAGGGGTCCCCTCGACCTGACTTGAAGCCATGCTGTCTCTCATCTTCAAGTGGGGTATCAGCGCTTCAACTAGCAATCTGGCTTTGCCATGGTGATATATCTCCGGGAGTTGAGAATTTGCCCAAAAGCTGTCTTTACCAGCGGCACCAATGGATACGCCATGAAGCCCCGTCTCGTCTGGCACGTTCTGGCAATACAGCCATTACACGTTGCCCCTATGATATACTGTGCCTCGATATTATCTTTAACTACCTGTATTTATAAGACACATCTTATCGCTTGTTCCCCCGGCAGTTCAGTGCTGTCACATGACGAGGCAAGCACGGCTACTGTCGGCGGTTGTCCACCATAGCCGAGCACTCGGCGGCGTAGAAACGCATCGAGAACTTCTCCTGCTTAAAAGAGGCCGGCGTCCTCTCAATTGCTTCATTTCCTCTTTATACCCAACCGGCGACATGATGCCTTTACGCTGCAGAGGACCTTTTGCCCAGGCACTTCTTTCAAGCAGTTCTCCAGCTCGCCTGGTCCCATCTATTTCTCGTATCTCCCCCAGCTGCTATTCTCCCCGCCGGCGATTTCACCCTTCCCCTGCACCATGCGCTATCAGGTCTCAGATTTTGAAGGATGTGGGTGAAGGTATGCTATTTCTTTTGATTTGATTCCGGGAACAAAAGGACATCGTGCTAACTGATGGCTTATATAGGAATCACCGAGATCCAGATTATACAATGGTATGTGCAGGAGGGGGCGAAGATTGAGGAATGGAAGCCACTATGTCAATATCAGTCCGACAAAGCAGTTGACGATGTAGGTGTTCTTGACTTGAGCCAATCCGTACCGCCAGATCCCCGGTTCATGCTAACAAATGTCTGCAGATAACATCGAGATACGACGGGGTCATTAAGAAGCTGCACTTCCAGGCAGATGATACAGTGCCTACAGGAATGGTATGGAAAGAAGTCCGAAATCGATGAAGTCGAATCAATACATGACACACAGGGTAACTAACGTGTGATGCAAAGGCTTTGTGTGACATCGATGTGGACGAGTCTAAATATCCAGATGAAAACGCTCCTCACCCGCCACCAGCTAACGAGCCAATCACTCCGACACCAGAGCAGGTGGTTGCAGAAGCCCCTCGTGTATCCGCGGCTGCAGGAGCACCACCAGAACCTGCTGTACAAGCTACACCTCCCCCATCTAAATATGCCTCTCTTGCAACCCCGGCCGTTCGTGGGATGTTGAAGGAGCTCAAGGTGGATATTCTAAAAGTAAACGGAACCGGCAAGGATGGAAGAGTTATGAAGGAAGATGTCCTCCGATACGTGGCGGAGCGGGACGCTGCGCCATCAGCATCTCAGCCTACGCAACCCTCATTGGACATCAGCACCCCACAAACCGAGACCACAACACCATTAACTTCAATTCAATTCCAAATGTTCAAGACAATGACCCGATCTCTAAACATTCCTCACTTCCTCTACGCCGATGAACTCGACATCCGCTCCTTATCCTCCATCCGCAAGAAACTTGCATCACAGCGAACTGAACCACTAAAACTCTCCTACCTCCCCTTCATCATCAAAGCCGTCTCCCTCTCCCTGAACTCCTACCCCCTCCTAAACGCAAGAGTAGACACCACCACCAATCCCAACAAGCCCGCCCTCGTCATGCGATCAAGCCACAACATCGGCGTGGCCATGGACACTCCAACAGGTCTTCTAGTACCTAATATCAAAAACGTCCAATCCCGCTCCATCCTGGACATTGCCGCAGAACTCACTCGCCTCCGCAAAGTGGCTCGCGCAGGCAAATTGACCCTCGCAGATTTGAATGGTGGAACCATCACGGTATCCAACATCGGTAATATTGGCGGCACCTATGTTGGTCCTGTCATTGTGCCGAACGAGGTTGCGATTCTTGGCATTGGACGGGCCAAGACAGTCCCCGTCTTCGACGAGGATGGGAACGTGGTTAAGGGCGAGAAGGTGAATTTCAGCTGGAGTGCGGACCATAGAGTTGTGGATGGGGCGACGATGGCACGGATGGCGGAGAAGGTTAGGCTGTATTTGGAGGAGCCTGAGTCGATGATTTTGGCTCTCAGATAGGCATTCTTTTTGTTGTTGTTGTTTGTGTGTATTTCCCTTGTCTTTTGGTTTGTATATAGAGCTTAATATAAAGCATATGTTGTCTGTAATTGTTTAAAAGCGCGAAGTAGAGTAGTAGGCTTTTTGTTACTTTTTCTCCCAGCTGTGTTTAACACTTTCCCCAAACCACCACCCCCCCTGCCTAACGAAGGGTGGATGTACTACACATTGTTTTTCAGTTCTACATATGAACATGCACAGGCCTCTTAAAGCTTTGAGGTCCGGTTAACAAAGAGAATGAGTGGTTCCCACCCAATCAATAAGTTACCCGTTCGATAGATGAATGTACGAAGGGAGGTAATATATATGAGGAATTTACGATCATGCTTGACGATATGATATGGAAGAGGAAGATCGAGCTACGGGAAGATTTTTACGGAGGACCTGGCCACCTCGTATTCCCTAGCGTTGCGATGTTTGTATATGCCTAGTTTGCTGCATGGCGTTGAGGATGACGATAAAATTCTATTTGAGTTGTTGTTGCTTGTTGTATTGAATGCAGTGTTTGTACAGCAAGATTTATATCCCATATTCAGTACTGATAGATCATTTATGAAAGGATAGATAGCCTTAGGCGGTGAGGTGAGGGAGACAGAGTAGCGTGCCAAATAGAACGAGTGGTCTAAGCTTTGCTTCTTCTCTGTGATTGATATATATATATATTTTCAAGTCTTTGATTTATTGAATAAACAACAGTAGAAGAAAGTACAAGAGCTTATAAGCGGCAGGCAAAATAGGGTGAAAAACCTAGGTAAAGGTAACTAACGAAGAAAGATAACAAAAAATAAAACAGAGACCGATGCTAATTTCCAACATTGCTTCTTTCCAAAGTCTTTCCTGCGCCGAAACACAGTACCGTGTACCCGTGGACCCCGTCTTGCCCTTCTCGTTAGGGGTAGGAAATTTGCCCTTGTTTAGATTGAATACGCCCAAACACGCCTTGCAAAAAAAAAAAAAAAAAAAAAAAAAAAAAGGGGGGGGGGAAGGAAAGAGGAAAACGAGAAGGAGGAAAAATCAGGATATAGGGAACGAAAAATGTGGCTGGCCAGACAGAGGAAGTAAAACAGAGATGGTAAGAGACACGCTTTCTTCGCTGCTTGACAGAGGAATAAAACTTTAACCAAAAGATATTTGATATTTGATGCGAGGAACTGGGGCAAGAGGAGATAGGGAAAGGGCGACGGGATGGAAAATTAAAAGTTTGGCTCGTCGGCAATGTGGTAGTTCTATGAGGATTGGATTAATCCGGATACAGTTGTTGGTATCGAGTTGATTGGAATTGTGCCATGTGAAATTTCCAAGATCAGCCTGTTTCGGTCCTCAGTCCTCAGAAGCTGGGAGCCAACTGTGCCATCACTAGAAGAAGAAGATTTAAGTCCCTTTCGCACGGGTAATGGACCATGATCAAATCGAAGTCGGGAGGACGGAGTGTGGTGGCGTTATCCCGAAAACATCAACCCAACCCAGCCCAGCCCTGCTTCAACTTCGCATTCAATTTGCAGCGCAGGAAGGAAGCAGCATCCAATCGTTGTCATTTCTATCCATGGTCGGGGGGTGGGGAAGGAGGAGGGGATCAGGGGCGCGGAGGGACACTACGACGCTCTTCGCATGTAGTCCCGAGAAGCCTCCAAACGTCTATTTTGTCCTCTGCTCCATGATTCGATTCACCTCGCGATTTACACGATCCTGCACCACACTCGGTTTGGCGTCGCACGAAACAGTGATCGCATCCCCTTCTGACCCCGGAACCGGTTTCTCCAGCGCTTGGAACTGCGAATGGACCATGGTAGGCGGCATGTAATGGCCCTTCCTCGCTGTAACGCGCTGGACAAGAACGTCTTCTTCGGCGTCTAAATAGATGAAGTGGATTTGAACCATCGGGTGGTTATAAGCGGCAACACGGATGACGTCACGGTACTTCTTCTTCAAGGCGGAACATGTCACCACGACGGCTGAGCGTGTTTGAAGAGACTCTATAGCAGCATCACGAAGAGCGATTAGCCAGTCCCAGCGGTCACCGTCATCCAAGGGTATGTTGTTTCTCATTTTCTGCTTGTTGCTTTCTGGGTGGTACTGTTTTCATTGTTGTCAGGGTTTAAAGGACCACTTCGTTTCTGGAGCGACATCTTTTTTTGGTGGTCGGGCCAGGTAAGAAGGGCAGGTTGCACTTACATCGTCACCTTCAATATATTCCACCTGCAGCTTCTTACTTAAACTTTTGGCAACAGTCGTTTTCCCACAGCCTGCAGGGCCTGTGATGATCCAGATATGTTGTAAATCCTGGTTTGGTGCTCGCATGGCTTGCTCCGTGGCTCCTTGCTGTCTTTGATACGGCATCCTGGACATAGGGTTGCATCGTGAGATAGGCGTATGTTGTGAATTAAGGGATATACCAGTAGTGGCTGTAGGGTGCATATGCACACGTCGGCGGTTGGTGTCTTGTGCGGCGGACAACATGATGGCGGGGTTAAAGTTGTGACTTAGTTTTTTTTGAGTTTTGAGTTTGATGAAGATCTTGGTTTGGTTGAAGTGAAATTTGTCTGGCAAAACAGTTGATGGATGGTTTCCGTTGGGAATTTTGTCACAACTGAGCTTCCAAAATAAATGAAAACTCCAGGAATTCTCGCTCAGCAAATCAATGAAAAGCGGGCTGATGGCTCAAGAAATAACAAGACCAGCGACCAAAGGGCCTTGGCGGAGAGAGTCGAATAATAGGAGTAAAACAAGACGGAGTCCGCGAAGAGAGTGTTGTTTTAGAGTACTCCGTAGGTAGGGGAGAATAATGACGAGGGATCTTTGGTCACAAGGTAATTATGGAATGATGGATGTTAAGAGCATAGATTAGTTATGTTTAGTTCACCAGATTATTTTTTTTTTTTCACACAAAAGGTTAGAAGAGCCCCCGCGACGAGGATAGGGTAAGGTAACCTGGGGAGGAGTATATATGCCAAATATCAGGCGGCGAAAAGGAGCCGGGGGAATACTGTGGGGAAGTATTAAGTTATAATAATAATATAAGCCTTGTAATAGTAACTTACGGAGTAATTTGGGGACTTATTCAAGCTACTTTTTGGGCCCGCCGTCACGGTTCTGGGACCCGGCAAAGATCCGAGTAGGGATTTGATAGGCCAGCTTGGGCTTCAGAACCCACGAAAGGGCGTTAGATCCAGGCGGCGGATTCACGGGGAAGGGAAGCACGCGAGCGGAAGGGGCTAAGTTCAACTAGTTACTAGTTATATAAGGGCTGGCTTGGATAAACGATTGCAAATAATCATAGCTGAAAGCGAGATATCTTCTCAGGGGCACGAGACCCGAACCACTTCCATTTATTATTATTATTTTAGCGATCGAGCGGGACAGCAAAGCTCCGGACCCTCCTGGGGCGGGATAGCTTGATATTTAAGCTCCCCTAGCCCGCCCTGGAGCCATCGCATTCCAACACCTGGATGTTCTAAAGGCAAATATGGATGATATCCTATCCCAACAATGGACACCCAGGGAGCCAATAATGGTGTTGATGGGCAGTGATGAAGCATAAAGCCTCGGCGAATAATAACAGCTGGATAATTATGACAAGACCGCTGTAGATATGGGGAAGTTAGGAGAGTGACATGTAGTTACAGGACACAGGAACCCCCCGGTTGATATGAATGTTGGTTGGTTGGGCATGAAAGCACTCCCTCCGTAAGCCGCAGAATAATATGTGGAAGATGAGAAAATCGATGCTCGTTCTGCTTCAAGAAAAGGAGCAAACCGATCGGGGCCCAATAGCCATCTCATCTAGGAATCAAGCTGGGATCAAGCTGGGATCAAGTGGACCGAGGTGGGCGGAGTTCGAGCAACACGAGGGGGAAAATCCTGTCAGGTTTGAACCTCACAGCAAGCCTGTGACGTGACGTTGGTGAGCCAGAGCCAATAATAAGAGATGAACAAGCGGGAGTCATAATCTTTAATAATAAGTTACTCAGACGGGCATGGCAATGGTTGGCCAGAGCTAGAGCGGGGGTGACTTGCTCTATTTTTTTAAATTTTTTTATTTTATTTTTATTTTTATTTTTATTTTTTTTGCTTTTTCTTTTGCTCTAACTAGTAACTAACTTAACTATTGCACCACCTAGTGCTACTTCGGGTTTGGAGCCAAGATGCCATCGAGATCCAACCGAGTTCTTGGGCACTAGCTGGCAATTGACAACAGATCCCTTCCAACAGAGAAAGACTCTACCAGCGAGCGCGCAAACAATCATACAACCATAGCATGCTTGGTCGATGAAGTCTGACGGTGCAGTCTGATGCAGCCTGATGCAATGCAATGGGAGGGCAGGTAGTTTTAGTGCATATTTAACGCCTCTCCAGGGTTAACTAAGTTAACTTAAGTCAAACCCCACACTAAAATTCGTCGCGGGAGTCAGGGATGCGAGAGCCGGGATTTCGGACCGTAACTTATATGTGACCTGTCACTCTTCGCAAGCAGATGGGAGATTTGGGGGGGAAATGATCATAACGGTCCCGGCTGGTCGAAGACTATTTTGCGTGCTGCAGAATTCTCTCAGCTAGTTAGTTACAGTTTAATATTATGACGAAATTGGAAATTTGCCCCCTCGTTTCGATAGCAAACTACCATGTACGCACGCTCATTCGATCTACGTAGTAAGTATCACGACATCATCAAGACAACGTTGTTCCGGGGTTGTTTGATGCCTAGGCTGCCGCATATTTAAAAAACGGGATCATGACTCACTGGCTGGAATGGTTCTGTGATCGTTTCATAGAACCTGGGCCAGGCAAGGATACGCGACATGCATCATTGGAGAAGCCTCGAAAACTCTTCCCTTGCGACTGATTTGAATGAGGTGCTTGGAAGAGCTTCATGTGCGAAAATGTGATTGATATCTTTCTCTTGAGCCGCCAATTCGACAATGCAGCCCCTTGCTTTAATCGGACACTGTCATTGGGGTGCGAAGCTGCTCCAACGTACAACTTGAGGCAGCATCGAGGGGCCGAGTTGTCCATCAGTTCTCCAGCAGGTCTCACAGATATCAGCCTGAGTGTGCCTTATCGACGCAACTGATATACATAACTGGGGCTGTCTGGTTTTGCTAGCTCACAGCTTGGTGGTGAGAGATGAGGCCCATTTTGCTACAACTTCAGCGGTCAACTAGATCCTAGGTACGGAGTAGTTAATTGCAACTTGAGCAGCCCAACAGCCGCCTTACCCCATAGCCCTCCAGCCTCGCCTCTCTCAATGTCATTGCGGAGGACAATTATTAGAATTCCAGAGTATGGCCATTTCCTCTTCGTTTGCCGAGATTGACGTTCACCAGCCACGATTTTGGATCAATTGAAGAATATTGCGGGGATGCAGCAACCCGCAGTGCTCCGCACTCTTAGCGCGGATGAACTGGAAATCTACCATGTCCTATACATATACATGCAGACGATTACTACCAGGATTCAGCAAGGGTTCCAGCCGCAGCCCCTCAAGCTTCCAAGAAATGAAGTCAACTCCTTGGGAAACAAACAAATCTTTGGCGCATCTACTAACTCTTCGTCCTAGCTGTCGGGCGATCAGGCAAAGTTTGTCACTAGACCTATATCAGGCATTGTATGTACATACATTTCCGTCGAAGGCACACGGATAAACGCACGCATCTCCAGCTTTTGAGGCCTAATGTCAAAGCGATACGCACACCGCGGTCCCTCGCGGGATCAGCTCTTATTAATGTAGGAGAGATACTACTCCTCTACATGGCGGGGTGCGTGACAAGCACCCTGCAGTGGCAGGGAGAAAACACTAATTGTGATCTGGCCCATCTGATCCACACGCACAATAATGCGCTCCAGAATATTTTCAACGAGTGTCATTGGGGCAGTGTTGGGCCTTGTTCAAAGGCCACATTTCAAACTTGATGCGGGGTTAACTGAGTTGTTCCTGCCCCTCATTGTAGGTGACAAGTGAGGAACTGACTTTTGAAAATTATGGCTCTTAGTTTTACTGGTTGGTTTCTTTTTTTGTTTTTTTTTTTTTTTTTTATCGTTCTTCCACATTTTCAATTCTGAAGAATCGCTGATCAGGCGATGTTCTTCCAACGTTTTTGAAGAGGCTGGGGGGAGTTGGACAGTCTCATTCTCGCGCAGACTTTCCACTTTTAACCATGCCCAGTAGTACATGTTAATTCGACTTTACTCGCGCTTTCATCGGGGCTGCTCCTCCACACACGAGAATGCTTGCGATGCGCCTGAAAAATGCGGGGTAGAAGCTTCGGCGCTTTCGGGTTTGGATTGCCCAACCCTTGTTTAGCCAATAATATACTCTGTTCTTTAGGACGCCAGCAGGATAGTTGGGCATCAATCGATAGTATTGGAACTGGATTGTGACTTTGCAGGTTCACCTGCTTGATCGCGTTTAGAATGTCACTTGAAAGATGTTGTCATTTGCAAGCGAGCGTGTTTGTATCCTAATGTCGTTTCCACTGGACATTGGCACTACACCTGCTGGTTCATGGTTGGCACAGGACACGCGCAAGCTGCAAATACAAATTCTCATCCTAAAAATGAACGGCCGAGAAGGAGCGTAGGGGTGTCATAGAAGGCTCAAATGCGGTTGACCTGCAAAGGATTTAAATTTAGCTCAAGAACAGCCCTTCTTAGACTAATCCGACCAACTTCTGTAAATATCTCTGACATCACCCTGACTGAAGGCAAGGACTACTGCAAACATGGGCTGCTGTATTCCTTGCACCCCTATCGCATCCCGTGGCTCCCCGCCATCGGGGATTATTCTCAATTCTGGCTCATGGTTTCTCGCACCCAAATGGATGATGGGCCAGGCAAGTTTATTTGCTATCAATTTCATTTGGAGAACGACACCAGAATGGCATCACTAAGCCATAGCCAGCCCCGAATGCTCGTCTCCGTTTTAGATTTGCATCTCCCAATTCGAGGGTTCAAAATAGCTCGATATCCCCATGTCTGGAGTATCCGACGCGGGATTGGCTGTTCGACTGGGTATGAATTTCCAGGGAGTTACCCAGGAAAATTAGAAGAGACAATCAAATTGCTGAACACGTCTTGGCGAGTGCCTGGTGTATCTTGCTGGCACTAAACAATATTCTTGGAGGCAACGGCGGTCAGGGCAGTCAACCATTGCAATTGTTCCGGGTTCGAGCTTGGAAACTCATTAGGGGCAGCTAGATTCGCTTGAGTAGGTAAAACGCATCACAACCACAAGCTTGCGGATACATGGTATATTTACTTAGATGGCTCAACCAGCATCAAAATTGATATATCTTGACGAGCCTTATTCTCTAGTGCCAGTGAGCGGCGCGACCATCCTCAGAGTCAACTGCGGTGAATTGTGCTGAAGGTTTGCTTTGTCGATGGATTGTGTGAATGAATGAATGGAGAGAGAGCGTCATGAGATTATATAATCAGGCCTGCTGGCAGGCTGCTGGATAAGCTTCATCGCCACGAGCCCGCAACAATGCGCGATAAACAATCCAACGCAAAACAGCGCCTTATAACAGTGATATGTATAACAAACCGGCAATTGACTGTTGTTTCTATAGATAACTTCGCGCACTAATACCTGGCATTACCCTACGACTCGACTTATATACCCACCATCCTTCCTCCGGCGTCATGTCGTCGTTCTTCTTTTCCACCCCTGTCGATATCGACGTCGTCTTGGAGGATAGCGATGAACGAGAAACTGTCGATATCAAGCTGGACAAGAACAGGAGGGAGAAGGCACCATTGTATATGGATGGCGAATCCGTGAAGGGAGCAGTAACGGTGCGGCCTAAGGATGGGAAACGATTAGAGCACACGGGCATCAAGGTCCAATTTATCGGAACAATTGGTATGACAGACATGCGCCAGTCCCTCTACCTTTTATATCTGTTTAATTAAATATCTTTTTTTACTAATTAATGTAACGAGAATTGTTTAGAGATGTTTTTCGATCGAGGTAACCACTACGAATTTCTCTCCCTCGGTCAAGAGCTTGCCGCCCCCGGCGAGTTACAACACCCACAGACATTCCCTTTCAACTTCAAAAACGTTGAAAAACAATACGAATCTTACAACGGCATTAATGTGAAGCTGCGATACTTTGTCCGGGTGACGGTTTCCCGGCGAATAGCGGATGTTGTGCGGGAAAAAGATATTTGGGTTTATTCGTACCGCATGCCTCCAGAGACCAATAGCCCTATCAAAATGGACGTGGGGATTGAGGATTGTTTGCACATCGAGTTTGAGTATTCAAAATCGAAATACCATCTCAAGGATGTCATTGTGGGGAGAATATACTTCTTGCTCGTGAGGCTGAAAATAAAACATATGGAATTGTCGATTATCCGCCGCGAAACCACTGGATCACCGCCGAATCAGTACAATGAAAGCGAAACGCTGGTGCGGTTTGAGGTAATGTTAAATTCTCCTTTACCAAAAGCGGGGCTCCTATTCCTGCGAGATATCCCAGTTGGAAAATCGGGTAGTTATATGACCTTGGCTAACAATCAACCCGGTCTTGGTAGATTATGGACGGCTCTCCATCAAGAGGTATGGCTGATAACCCCCTTGGCCTATTGATATATTCCACATAGCTTTCGTTTGACCGTTGAAATGGTGCTACATATAGATCAGGCTAACATATACTATTGCCGCGCGAATAGGAGAAACGATACCCATTCGATTGTTCCTAGGCGGTTTCGATTTGACTCCGACGTTCCGTGATGTGAATAAGAAGTATTCGACCCGATACTATCTTAGCTTGGTACTTATCGACGAAGGTGAGTTATCGACTTCGTGCTTAGGCTGCTTTGGTTGGGATCACTTCGGACCCTCCGTCGTCATCCAACCCCATCCCCCAAACCCAGCTTTCTTGATAAGCTTTTATCATTGGCAGGTGAAAAGTATCCCTTCTTAAAGAGCAACTACGCGGCTCAGCTAAATGATTCAATTAGCTGTTCTCTGCAATGGGGACCTGCCTGTTCCAATTTGGCCTTCACGTTTAGTTGTTTCACCCCAGGCCCACGTAGAAAAAATCACTCTTCCCTCACCTCCCTCACAGCGAGCCACGTCCTCTGTATCCCTTAAACTCTGGTTTGGCTAGCCAGATGCACAATTCACTGCGCAGAGGCCAACAACCTTTAACCCCACGATAATTTACACTTTGCCCCTATATGCGGGGCTTCAGCGCGCTCATACTAGCAATCTAAATGGGAATAATCTGTCATCGGGATCAATCGCTAACAAGGGATTTTTCTAGATGCCCGTCGATATTTCAAACAATCTGAAATCGTTCTATACCGCCAAGCTCCTGAAATTGGCTTGACCCCTGAAGTTGCACAGCAGCAAATTGCTCAACAGAAACAGCTCCAGGGCGAACCTACTACCTCAGCGGGCCCAACAAAAGATATGCAGACGGCATCGTTTGGAAAGCAGCAGGTCGCGGCCCAGGTGTAATTGAGGGTGGATGGAAAGAAGCGAGGATGAAACGGGTGTAAGGATTGTTCGATCGTACGCGGCGGAAGCCGCTTGACTTATTGGCGTAGTGGTCATGGGCTTTGGCCCTGTTCCTTGTTTATTTGGTTCTGTATGGACAACCACATTGTGTATCATGAATTATGATAATCCATAGATTATTCGGTTCATACTATCAAGCTAGCTAACCTCTCTACGCCGCATACTAACACAATGCAACGGGTCATAACTACCTCAATGAAATTTTATACCCTCCCATTGACGACAAGAACTGGACAACGGCGAAAAAAAAAAAAAAAAAAAGAAAAAAAAAATGCTATGATACGTAAAATAAAACTAAACCCAGCTTAGCAAACAACTGATTAAGTGGAAGAAGGCACGTACTTCAATTCCTCGATCACAGCACGCCATTGATCACTTTGTAACCACTGCAATAATCTTAGTATGGGAAAGTACATACAGTTTTATGTTGTTTTGTTTAACTGTTAGCACCCCCATTTGAGCTGCATTTTTAATGTAGTCAGCGAATCAATCATCCCTATCGTCCTCCTCCTCCTCCTCATCTTCGTCACTACCACCAAGTTGATCTCGCGAAATAGTCGCCAACACCTTCTGCAGCGCGTCCAAAACGCTGCTATTCTCACTCTCCTTCCCAGCAACTCCCATCGCCTTCACCACGAGCGGATACACCCAGCCTAGATGCTTCTTGTACATCGCTGAATTACCACCACCTCTTTCCCCCTCTAACGGTACAACAGGACCCGCGTCGGGGATCGCAGCCGGTTCGCTTCGCAGCTCGACGAGCCGACGTAGCAGCCATAGCAATTCCTTTCGTGCCTGTGTAGGTTGGGGCATGAGCCCACGCAGTGGCTGATCTGCGATGTAGGATTTCAGAGATATTGCACAACGTAGGATTAGATACGGGGATACGGATTTAGCGAGGAATATATAGGGACTTGTTGCGTCCTGACGTGAAACTTTCGACGGAGACGCCGATACCGATTGTTTGTGGGAAGGACAATTGTTGGAGCGCACTGATACAAGGTCAAATAATGAGTCCATCATCACGTAGGCCATCTTTGATCGGGGGATTGGAGGCGGATCATATGTACGTCCCATACGAATTTTATATAAATCCCGCAGCGGTTCTCTTGCGAGTGTTCCTCGGGGTAGGTCCGAATTCTGTGCTGGGTAGACAAAGGACGAGTGGAAAAGCGCGCAGGCGAAGTCACGCCGTGTTTTATCCGGGATTAGAAGTGAACCAAGCGATGGTATCACGATGTCACGGAGGCGGGAGAAAGCTGTTATGTCAAATTCTTCATCTTCGTAAATTTCGTGGGACTGAATGTTCAATTTTTCGTAACCGTGGGCAGAAACGATCCCTTTTGAAATGTCCACAACGCAGTTCCAGAAACGAACAAGTTCGTCTTCGCTGGAATTGGCATGTTCTTTCTCAACATAGGGAACAGCAACCTGGAGAATATCGAGCGAAACGGATGTTCCCACTCTCCAGAGGGCAGGTCCACGATCTCTTCCATTCCAATTATATTTATGAGCTATTTGGTTGGAGAGACGCTCAAGCGCTCTCACTAAAGTACCGTCCGAGAAAATATCCGTGATAATCCCATATTCTGCAATATACCAACCAAGCAGTCGCATTGCGGACTTCGAGAATGCCACGAATGTTGGCCTTCGGCTATCTTGACCTTCAGACCATTTTGTCAACGCACAATCGGAAAACTCCGCAAGGCATGTAACAAGTGCAGGTTGAGAAGAAGCTCTTTCAGAGCATATTGTCTTCAAGCATTCCATAGCGAGCGATTGCAGTTCTGACAGGTGGTCCACATCCGGGGTATATCGTGAGGACACTGAACCCCAAACGGCGATTCGTAAGTTGTTAAGCACTTGATGAATATGTCCTTCGGTTAATCTGTCCTTCAGGAGTTGATAGAGTTGCTTAAAGGTTTTTAGATAGGCTAGCAAAGCATTTTGATTTTGCACGGCTAAATCAGGCTGTTCGTCTCGTGTAATTGGGTTACCATTGACCCAGACAGCCCACGCAGACTCTAAAGATTCCACGCTGATCTGTTCGTAGCCCCGCGTTCGTGAGAGGACCTCCGAAAAGCTCGAAAAGACCGATTCATCTAACTCAAGGAGTTTGATATTGATTATCGCATCGAAGGAATCTAGTAG